TTTCTAATATGTAGCTTAAAGGATCGTTCTCCGGTCATGATCAGGAGTGTAGCTGCAGCCTGCAGCTGCAGGTGTGTGTAGACAGGCAGACAGGTGCAAGCTGAGATCCAGTAAACCTGCTCTGTTTTTATGCGAGTTCTGGACGTAACAGCAGCTCATTTATCCTGGAGTTACGCTGTTTTTAGTGAACAAACAACTCTGGTTAATTTATTTCAAGTTGAGGACACAACATTAACTTGTAACTCTGCTGTTAATTATGAGTGTTGTTTTAGTTGGAAGGATCCACATCCTCCAGTGTATGGTCATTGGTTAAGAGAAGTTATGTCTTACATTCATTTAGAGAAGATTAGATATACTGTTAGGGGATCTGTAAACAAATTCTTTGACATCTGGCAGCCATTTATATCCTAAGTGGAAAAAATTTCCGCAGATAACTTTGTGTAAAGGTCAAATATTGGTTCTTTGTACACAAACCTGTGTCTTGTATTATCTGTTAAATGAATACAAGATGTATTTATGTTTTGTTAGTAGATACGGTATAGGTGGGGAGGGATGGGAAGGTTCTCAGGGGTGTGTGTTTTTGTTAGTTTGTTTTTTGTTTGTGGTTTGTTAAAAATAATTAAAAAAACTTTGAAAAAAATGAGCGTTGTTTTAGAAGATGAGAGGACTCCGCAGCACCTGGTCGCATCGCATGCGGAGTATGTGGGGTGTGTATTGGTGATTAAAATAAAGAGTAATTATATTGATAACTACACTTAACAAAAATATAAACGCCCCATGTCAAATACACAACACAACTGGAACCTGGATTCATCCGTAAACATCACTCTTCTCCAGCATGCCAAGGGCCATCGGACATGTGCATTTGCCCATGTGAGTTGGTTCCTACGCCGGACGGCAGTGAGATCCAGACCACGGTGATGGCGCCGAGCTTGCAAATTGGCTTCTCGTAGGCGGTTACGGACAGTCCAAGGTGTGATGTGTCTGTTGCGCAGACCAATAGTCTCATCAGCTGTCTGTGTCGCTGGTCTTAGTCGATCCCGCAGATGAGCCAGATGTGGTGATCTTGTGCTGGAGTKGTCACACGTGGCCGACAAGGATGAGGTTGCTTTGCAGTAGTGCCAGTCTGTTGGAAACGAACTCTCAAACGGGCTATGGTCCAATAATGGACATTAAACCTTGCAGCTACTGCTCTTGTAGACATCCCTGCATCCAACATGCCAATGGCACGCTCCTGCATAATTTACGACATTGGAGGCATTATGACATGTGACAAAATTGACAATTTGGGGTGGCCTTTTATTGACCCCAGTCCAAGGATTGTCCAGCTGTTGCTCTTTTTGTCTGATCACCCACTGGACATGCCCCACCGATGCAATGAGTAAAAAAACAATTCACTGAGTAATGCTCACTGACAGCAAGTGAAGATTAAAAATTACACACAAATCAAGAGAAATATATTACCTTTGTACAATAAAATGTCAGCAAATGCTCATTTACTGTTGTATATTTGGCATGTGGCATTTATATACACTCCTGATCAAAATCTTAAGACCAGTCAAAAAAGTGCAAGAATTTGCATTTTGCACTATTGGATCTTAAGAAGGTTCTAAGTAGAGCTTCACAATGTTAAAAGAAGAAATCAGTGCAAGAGACAAGAACTTTTCATCAGGGAATTTTCTGAAAACTGCATTTACACTAAAACATGGTTTTTTCAGCTGATTAAAAGTTTGAGACCACAGTCTTTAAAAGCCAAAAGC